CCAAGAACGCATGATTGAACAAGCTAAGAAACACCGACGCCCGTCTACTTTTCAAGTTGGTGACTTGGTCTGGGTTAAGTCCAAAGAATTTACTTTAGAAGAAGATGTTTCTCAGAAACTGATGCCTGTCTATCTAGGACCCTGGGAAGTTCTCAAGGTGATAGGGGATGCCGATGGACCATCATACCGGATTAACATTCCCCCTCATCTTCGGACATACCCCGTCTTTCACGCGTCTAAACTGCTTCCATATGTAGAAGGAACAAAATTTCCTCACCGACCATCTGCCATACCTCCTTCTATGAATGGCAGCTATGTGGTTGAGAAAATTACTGACCATGGATTMTTTTCTACTSGTGGAAGAGGCAGACCTCAAAAGCAGTATAAAGTGAGATTCCAGTTCCAAGATGCCTCTGAAGACCGTTGGTTTAGCAGACGGGAACTGATGGATACTGCTCCTGATATTGTTGCTAGCTATGAACGCGGACTGAAGTCTTATGTATTTCTGCGGTGGAACTCGAATTCGGGCCGGCAGGAATGCAGTAAACCGCGTTCAGCAGCGGCCTGGGCGCTGTAACCCAAGCCCAGGCTCAGCGAGCAGTGCAACCACGCGCTGCTCGGCCTCAGGCCGCTGCGGGTGCTATGTGACCGCGCACAACAAGAAGTTCAAAGATCAAAGTGAACTGTAGGTCCAGGTACCTCGCCCAGCCCCTTGGTCGTCGTGCATCGACTTGTATGTGTGCAGGTACCCAGTCAGAACGGTGGACCAAGGAGGATACAGTTTCAACCCAATCCAGGCCGTCGACGACAAGCGATCTCGACCGTGTCTGACTTGAGGACTGGGGCCCAGACCCCACCGTCAACACTACATATTGGGCTGACTTCCTGGATTTGGGATCTAGACTCTCGTCTGGAGTCTAGGGGGACTCGGCGCTCTCGCGTCAAGGCCGGCYCTATGCTGTCTTGTTGGCGAGACGCTGCGGGGAGAACTTGACGACYGGCGCTCGTCGCTGGTTCGTGGCTTGAGTGTGCTGTGCGACCAGCATGCTGGCTGGCRCACTATTGTCTGAGGGGTTGTYGACATGGCAGATGCCACGTGTCATCTTCGTGGCTGCTGCCACGTAGTATTGCTGCTGAGATGGAAGGCGYTGGGCGCCTGTATTGCTGTTCTGCTTGACAAGTATTCGGAAGAAGGATTCAGGTCTGTGGTTTGGGTCGTGATACGTACCTGGTGTCTTCAACTTCGTCGTCACGTTGCTGCTTGATGACTGGTCTGCTGGTGCCACGTGGCACTATTGGTCTACAGTGTCTTGGATATCCGGATCTCTGCTTGAGACACGATTATGCGGTTAGGAGGAGGAAGTGCCCGAAGAGGAAGTGGGCTGTAGGGAGGAGACTCACCCTCTCAAAGTCTATTCTCCCTCCTCCCTCTCTCGTCTGCGTATGTCTTCTCTCTCATTGGGAATCATTATTATTTTGATTTATTAGCAGCATTCGTCTACTTTGTCTTTCCGAGTGACGACTGATTATCACGACTGGGCACATTGCAGGTTGAGCAATGCCACACTCAGAAGCTCGTGGGTTCGATACCCAACGTCGTCCTTTCAATCCCCGCTGTCTTCTGGGGATATGCTTCGGGTTCACCCGCGGAGACTGTTGGTGTGGGCCCCCCGGCTGGTTGTGGAAGTACGTGGTTCTTTCCAGCCCGCGCCGGGTGTTAGAAGCCTGGGTACTGCTCCCCGCAGAGAGCAGGGATGACAGGTAGGCGTAGACCCGTAACCTTAGGATAGCTTAAGCTTTGGTCAGTGAATTTAAGCTTCAACCTTGGCCTCCATCCATAACACAGAAGTATCAGCTTTAGATAGATCCTGCGCCTTAGGCCTTAGACCCTAGCATTAGATACCGGTGGGTAGGGCATGGACTTCAACCACCAGTACTTCGCCCAGCTATTGATGCTGAGCCTGAATATGCCCGCGCCGTTTCGCGCCGACCTGCCAGCGAAGCAAAAAAAAGAAATTGTTTTGGCTGGCGGCATCAGCCTTTCAGGTCCCGTACCCTGAGCCTTCGAAACTTGCGGGGGCATTAACAACAATGCCCCGCGGCCGACATATGGGCCAAGTACTGGTGGTTTAATAGGTAGTAAGTGTGAGGTGAGAGAGAAGAAATTACAACTATCCCCCATATGAGGAGAAGAGAGCTGTAACTTTTACTTTACGAAACAAAAAAAAGGGGGCAACTCCAGTGGAGTCACAAGAACGAGTTATAATTGTACTATGGGCCAAGGTACAGTTTGCAATTGCACTTCGGGCACCCTACCTGGCCATAAAGCTGGGTTGTATACATTGCCCAAACTGCAATTCAAAACTGTATCTTGGCCCATAGTGCAATTATAGCTCATTTTTGTGACTCCCCCATAGTTTCCCCCCCAAGGAAAAAAGAATCGGAACCAGACTGAGGCAAGGACCCCACAGGACCACGGGAAAGAAAAACTTTGCCGCAAAACTGTTTTCACGACCCCACAGCCTGCCGCAAATGTCCTGGGAAAGATGAAATTTCTTCCGCAAACCCTTTTCCAGGACCCCACAGACCGAAGATTGCGGCTTGGAAAAACATCGCTTTGTGTTTTCACATAGTCCGCGGCCTGGAAAAGTCTCACGGCAGGATTCCTCACCACAATTTTGTGCCGACTCTAGAGGGTAGGGGGGAGGGCATGTCATTCCTGGAAAAGTCTCGCGGGAGGCAGCAGCCAATAGCGATGAAGAGTGCCACCAAAAAAAAAAAAAAAAAAAAAAACGGAAAAAAGAATAACAAACGAGTGCCGATGGAGACGGGCAACAATTGGCTCAACTGATTTCCAAAGGGTTTTCCAAACGCGTTTGGTCCGCCACGATGGGGTCCCCACAAAACTGCTTTCCGGCTTTCCAAAATTCTTTGCCCTGTTTTTTTGGCCGGCCACTTTTCCATCCCTTTTCCAGTGGGGTCCAGGCCTGAGAGGGAATACAAAGGAAAGCAATCTGACAGGTAATCCTCCAGTAAGTGGAGTAATCAATGATGGTCAGGGACCCTTCGGCCGAGCAGAAGGATGCGCTTTGTGGGTAAGTGATGTAATTGACCTTTTTGACTTGCCGGGGGAATAGGAACCAGACTGAGAGGTGGACCCCGCCGCCTGGCGAAAGCTTTCCAGGCAGAAAGCTTCCGCCAAACCCAAATCGTAGGCCCGGGCGATGGGAAGGAGAAAAGCGGACCCCACTGCAGCACAAATTTTCGGCAGTTCCATTGGTGTTGGTTACCCGATAGGGAAAATTTTCCCTATATGGAAACTTCACATCCGCTTGTCTCGGTTCTCAACCAATCCCTGGCTCTCCTTTCCACATGGGATGGCCGAACCGAGGGAGGTGCCCCCCCCCCCCCCCCCCTCAGAATGGCCGAACCGCAAGGAATGGGCAAAACAAAACTGAGTGAAAACGTCTGCCACATCATATCTGAGCGTTTTCCAAAGCTTTGCCGCAAAGCAGTGGGGTTTCACAAATAGTCTTCCAAAGCTTTGCCGCAAAGCAGCGGGGTTCACCTCTGACACTCCCCAGAATGGATATGGAGCCAGCACCATAAGGACCTGTTTAAAATCAATAAAAAAGAAAAAGGAAAAGAAAGAAAGAAAGAAAGAAGAAAGAAAGAAAGAAAGAAAGTAAAAAAGAAAGAAAGAAAGAAAGAGAATTCTTTGTTTTCTCAAATTCCATTTCTATCTAGGGGAAATTTGTCTGGCGCCCCTGTAATCTGCATTACTTTGCGTCGCGCCCCTCCGACGGCCCACTTACCCTGTCATGCCCGTGAGGCCTCTGAACTTCACTGGATGCCCCTGTCAGCAAGTGCAGCTGTCCGCGGTGCCCTTATTGGACGGCCAGTCTCATTTCACCGGTCCCTGAGCTATATGCCCTCATGAGTGACATACATCTTTCCGTTATGCCCTCGCACCAGAAATTCGGATTTCAAGCACATGGTTTTTGTGGCGCTGCGCCGCTGTCGCAAAAAATGACTCTGTGTGTGTGTGTGTGTGTGTGTGTGTGTGTGTGTGTGAGAGAGAGAGAGAGAGAGAGAGAGAGAGAGAGAGAGAGAGAGAGAGTCACCATGCCCGTAGCCATAGAGGTGTGCTGAAAACATGCACCTACCAGTAGGGGCATATGGAAAATTTTGGTGCTGGTACTCAACGGCTATCTGGTAGGGGCATACTGCAAATTTGGAATGGGTACCAGTAGGGGCATAACAAAACTATTTCAGGCCCAGCCGACTCCGGGGTTTTATGGGAAATTTGAATCGTGGTCAGAGGGGCATGACGCAAAATAGTGGAAACTACAGGGGTGCCAGACACATTTTCCCTCTATCTATAAGATTCTATTAAACTATATTAAAGTGTATTTAATTCACTTTTATACAGTATATTAAATTCTTAGTTTAATAGTAATAAATTAATACTTTATTATTTTTGGAGAGGTGCACCAGTCCTTCGCTCGCCGCCGTGCACAGTCCATGCTACACTGTGCAGCTCGGCAGCACGCATGCAACACTAGCGTGGTTGTAAATTGAGGCAGTGTGGGAGTGGACTCAGTGGAGGTGTGGCGGTGCGGTCATACCAAACTCACTACGTCGAAGTACACACCCAAGGAGTTTTTTCTGACTGCACCTGGCTGTCATTAGGAAGGAAATTATGGAATACATCCATGAAAGTCGTCTGTGTGAGTAGGCCCTCAGACTCTTTACCACCGAGTTCACCAACTGTGTCAAAATTTTAATTGAATTTTGATGACTTTGCCAGTATTTGCTGATTCAGAAATGCTGTGATTGCCCATCCACCAGCCATCGAGTAGAAGAGAATGGCGAACTTGGCCAGCCATTTCTCTCCATCATGATGTCGTTTAGAGAGCCCAAATGTGCACAATGCACAGGTTATGAGACCAAAACTGTTGTCGACTCTATATGTTATCTCCAGAGCGCTTTGAGGAGCGGTCCAGAGCCTCGCCGAAGCTCAATAGATGCAGAACCCGGGCCCATTCGACGGCGTCAAGGGTACTTGGCAGGGAAGCCATTCACACGGCCTCACGACATCGAGCAGCAGCTGCGGCTGCGAAACGGAGGATGACCACCCGTCTCTGGGACGTCGCCTCTTCGTCGATGTCGGCAATGCCGACACCAGACTGGGTTCATAGCCAGTATACCGAACCTGGTCAGCTGTTATCTATGCTATATACTACAGCAGGCAAGTACTGGGATCCTGGGCAACTGATATTCATGCAAAATGAGCACCGTTTAAATGTCTGCTCACTCGGGTGTATTTCCAGCGGAGAAACGTTGGTCGCCGATGTTGCTTCTTGTCCTTTCAGAGTAGCACAGGAAGGTGGGGAGGGCATGTGTGAAGCCAGCGGAGAGGCGTTTGTCGGAGAAATAGATTATTGTGCTTTCGGATCAGCAAAGGATGGGGCCTTGTACGAAGCCACACAACAAAGTATGATGAGGAGTGCTGGGGCTCGCGCTGTGAGGACGGAGGCGGCTTTTCAAGTGACGTATGGATATGAACAACGTCAGCGACAGAGATTGTCGCTGGTGGACCTCGTTGCCGACAGCGGGCAGCCGACAGGTGGTGGTGGATGGCATGATGTGGAAACAGAGGCTTTCCGAGTGGCGAATGATGGATGTGAACAACGTCAGCGACAGAGATGGTCGCCAGTGCACCTTGTTGCCCACAGCGGGGAGCCGACATGTCGTGGTGGATGGCATGATCATGATGGGGAAACAGAGGCTTTCCAAGTGGCGTATGGATGTGAACATAGGCCGCGTGTTGTGGACAGTGGGGAGCTGACGGGCGATTGTGGAAGGTGGTGGGGTCAGTCGACGTCGAGAACAGATGAGAGAAGTCTTTTGAGTCAGGTTGCTGGTCAAGCTGACTGGAGCTTAGAAGGAAGTGCGTCTTTGGCCGTGTGCATCGCTGACGTCGCTGCGATCAGTGAGTGGGTTGCTTTGCAACAGCAACCTGCCGCGTGCACCAGCAGCGTACACTGGCAGGCAGACATGTTCCGGGGTGCTGAAGAATATGGTATGCTGTCTCTTGGGTGTAACTCCGCCGAGATTGTCGTCCCCTATCCACCTGTTTGGGAGCCCCAGGGACTCCAACAGATGTTATTGCGGGCTTCATCCTCGATGACAGGGTTTGATACGTTGTGTGGGAGGAGGCTTACGCAGGCGTTGCCTGGTCGTGTCGTTGAACATGGTGCCAGGCAGCGGACAGGCTGCGTTCCGCCATCACGAGAAACGCCCAAATTGAAGCACCTGAAGGGGATAGTGTGGCCTGCGGCGACTCCCATGCCGCCTTCCACACCGACTTTCGCAACAAGATTGGCAGTACCCTCCGCTGTGGCAACCCATTGCCCTAACTGGATGTATCTTTGCGACATGGAAGCATCAGGTCTGCTGGGCAGGGATACATCAAACATCGTTTCTCCGGTTGGCGATGACAACGCCAGCGACTTTTCTCTGGACGCACTGTTGCTGCCAGTGGGGCAACGACGAAGCCTTAGCCTTAGGGATGTGCCACCGCGGGCCGAGGCCGCGTGCGGTACAGCGAATCTGCTGAGTCAGACCACAAGCTTCGATGACAACGGTTACTTCGTTCCAAGCATGCGAACCGAGCAATGCCATGCGGATTTGTCCGGCGGACCACTCTCCTTTCTAACTGAGACGGCAGGTGCAGGCTGTGCGGCAGGCGCGGCGTCGATGTCTGTTGGAGGAAGCAGATCCGGGCAGCAGCAGCAGCAGCTGCCTTCTTCAGTGCCTATCATGGCTTTCACAAACCYCCCCCAGCAGGACCAGGTCCTGCGATGCCTATGTCAGCAGTCCCCAAGTTGTGAGTCCCCGCCACAAAGAGTGGGTTTAATGACTGACAACAACACCGTAACGGTTGAGAGAGCGTTGTCCAGTGACTGTCTGAGTTGGTCAGGCATGCTGAGTCCAGGCCCCACGATGACATTAGCAATCAGTCGGTCGAGCATGCTCCACGATCATATGGGTCTGGCAGCTGAATCTCCAAGCTGGACGGCCTTGGAACTGGAAAACTTAGGTTTCGGACCGGACTTGCCAGTGGTTGGTGCTGTGCAATATGGATGGATCTCTGGTACCATACAGCATTTCCGATCCCTTTAAACGGTAGCAGTGGAGGTACCTCTCTTCTTTGGCTTCTGCCTCCTATACAGCACAAGTGATAGTCAATACTTGGTCGTCATGGAGTGATCTTATGGTCTGCGCCAAGGGCGAGCTCCTGTCTGTCTCTGTCGATCTGCATGGCAGGAAGACCATAAGAATTTGAAGTACTACAGCGCCAGATTTGCTATGGAGTCGCAGTGGGAGTTGCAATGGAGGGGATAGACCTAAATGTGCAGAGGGAGGGAGAACTCCGAGAGTGTAGGCCAACCATCTGGCCCGTCTTTATCTCTGGCCAGAGAAAAGTCTCCGGTGGACAGTTTCTATGCTTCCCCGAAACCGCCCGCTGATGAGGTAGTAGATCCTGCAATTACTGTCAAAGTGATTGGACATCAATGGTATTGGACTTGTATGAGTATTTGGATTATAATGCTTCTGGTGAACACGTCTAAATTCAGGCAGAATAATTTGACGCAACATTCTGGCCTCTCTTTTGCTGGAAGGAAAAATGTTACTCGGTCCGGAAACCTTTGATCTTGAATTCATGATCCACAAGAGGCCCCTTATATGCACTGAGGGGGCGGGCGCAGGCAGCCTCAGGAGGGAGGGAGCCCTCAGTCGCAGGGGTGGTGATTGTGATCCCAATCCCTGTCGTCTTCCCTCTCAGACTATCTGGTTTTGCAAAGTGAGGGTGAACCTGGACACAGATGTCCACTCGGTTCCAACTGCAGTCACACGGTCAGCGGCACATACATCTCCTGGATAATATGAAGTCCCCGCCGCCCGTAATATTTCATCACCTTCCATCTGCAACAGGATTTCAAGTGGATTATGGAATTGAGTGACCATATATCGCTTTACGACCTAGACGAGTACAGAAGACAGGACGCGGAGTTTCCGGTCACAACGCCGTTGCAGCGGCAAATGAATATATTTTGTGTCCGAGGGTCGTGCCTCGGATGATGCTGAGTCCTAGACAGTTTTTGTGCTCTTGTTGTGTATCATTGTACGTGAATATTTCAACGTGCCTCGGATAGCATATGCTCGATGAGCAAGAACTGCGCCGCTCGCATACAGCGAACCGCGCACACTGCACATCCATCGTCTGAGTGTGTTTCAAGTTACTGCATGGAGTGTGATGTGGAAAGCTCCTGGGTTTGGGTTGGGTGGGGGGTGGGGAGGGGGGTTGGATGGGGGGCGGGCGGGGGCGTGGAGGGGTAATATTAGACTGGCCAGCCTTCACTCTACGTCGTTCTACCAAATGACGTCAGAAGAGTTTCAGCCGTCACGGCAGTGTACTTATTGTGTTTGGCGCTCTACAAAATTGCCTTGTCATCTTCATCATCATCATTGAATGGGAACAAAAGAGGTCCTCTCGAGCAAGTACAGCTGGGGCTCACTGCTTTCTACAGTTAATCAAACACGTCATCAAGGAGCTCGTTTGTTCGATAAGAATGATGATGATGATGATGATGACGATGTCATTGATGATGACGATGTCATTGATGATGATGATGATGACGAGGCAATTTCATAGAGCGCCAAGCATGATACGTACAGTGGAGTGACAGCTGAACGCTGAATGCTTCTGACGTCATTTGGGAGAAGGATGTGAAGTGAAGGCTGGCCAGTCTGATATTACCCCCCCAAGAGCTTTCCAAGTTTCCACATTGCACTTGGTACAGTAACTTGAGATAAGGCCCTCCCTCAACTACTCACCAAAAAAATGAGAGCGAATCTGCCCCTAAAACATGGGAATATACACCGCCGGATGTTTTGTCTTTTCTGCATGAAATGGTGGAGAGTAGTGGAGCCAGGCCCATATGCCTTCACAAAGATGGGTGTGCAGTTAATCAGCACATCAACCATTCTTGATTTTTGTTTTTGGACACCGAAGCGTCTGTCATCCATCTGTGCATTCATGCATTTGTGAACAGATGTAACAATCTTTTTCTTTTTTTTTTTCCCAAATGTATCATAAGCATGATTTTCATCATCATCTTTTTTTTTTTTTTTTTTTGGGTTGGGGGGGGGGGGGGGGGGGGGGGGGGTTGTTGGGGGAGAGAGTTTGTAGTGGACGGAGATACTTTTGCCTATGTTTTTTTTTCAGCTTTTTCTCTGATTAAATAAATTAAAAAAAGCAATACAGGCAAAACTCTCTCTGCCGCTCTTGCAGTAGATGAACACTTGCAAATGGGACCAAATGCTGTAGAGTTCGGTTGTCAGCCCGGAAGCCTCACCAGGAGGGAGGAGGCTCCTCTTGTGGGCCCGGGGTGGTTGCCGGGAACATAGAGCTCTGGAACTCGACCGGGACATGGAGTGGGACTGAGAGTGGGACTGAGAGTGGGAGTCTATGTTATAGAACCATCATTTGGGGGATTCATCGTCTGTGTAGTACGAGGATTTCTTTCAGACCAAAATTTAAAGGACTCGCCAACTCGAAATGAGTGATTGTGGTCCTGAAGTATCCTTTTGGCACCTTCTCTTTTTTTTGTTGTTTTCCCCCCCTCTGACACCACGGCCAACCCCTGTAAATAAATATGACACCTGCCGGTCTGACACGACGACCGTGCCGTCGGTACTTCTGTTGCCTTTTCAAACTCGGCACGGTTTTCTTTGCCGACGCACTCGGTGTTTTTTTTTGCCCATTGGATACTCAAAGGTGACATGAACGTACTTACCCCTTTTTCTTTTTTCTTTTTTTTTGGAGGGGGGGGAGGGGGCACGGGGGAGGCACATTTCTCTGTTTGGCACTGATCATCATCATGATCATATGGTGATGTGTTCCTCATTCCTCATAATAATGTTTCTGGCATGTTGTATGTTCTTCTCCCTTCATTTTGGTAATAATTTACTAAGAATAATTTACCAAGAATTTTTTTTTGGTAATCATAATTTTAAGTAATAATGTAACCCATTGGACCCAAATTGCTATGCGGTCCCGCCAAACCATCACGTACGACATGGAACGAACTTCCGCTAAAGCTGGATTCTCCTGTAATCTGCAATTTAGACTTTTTCATAATCTGTAATTTAGACCTTTTCACATAGTAAATGGGGGGCGCTTGCTGCACCTTTTGCCAGACGCCGACATTTTGAATGTAGCGGCATCTGTTCTGGTCTCGATACATTCCAAATGTTGGTGTTTGGCACGCCCCCCACACGCTCTACTAGTAATCGGCCTTGTGCTTGTGGTCCACAGGTGCCCCTGCTCGAATAACAGTGATTTTGTTAAGCCGCCAGCACCACTAACACTGGCGGGGGCGTGTTTAAAAAAAAAAAAAAAAAAAAAAAAAAAGCATCTCCTAGCCACTTTTCTCCGGGGCTGGAAACGCGCCGCCCTGCGCGCCAAAGGAGAACGAACCCCAATGGGCCTCCTTTCGGCTGGCGCCGCCAGGGATTTTGCTCCAGAGGCCGGTCCCCGAAAGTCGTGGCAGCATGCAAGCCGCGCATTTTTTATTCTTTGGCTGGGCAACATACTGCAAATTTGCAATGAGATTGCGAAGTTGCCCTTCGATTTCTCCTCACAAGTCTGAGCTAAAGTCACAGAATGGAAGTCCTTTGAGCGTTTCAAAGGGGCGGAACAGGATGGATGTCCTTTGAGCGGTCCAAGCACAACTGCAGCCCTTCGTTGTGTGGAAGGAGAACTCTAGCCGTCTTCAGCAGCCACTCCGTCGCCGGGATACCGTCAGAGCCCAAAAAAAAAAAAAAAAAAAAAAAAAAAAAAAAACTGGACGTTGAAAAAAAGCGGGTATGTTCAACAAATCAGACACTTCCCGAGGCATAGAGCCCGGCCGCTACTACCACATGTTAAWAAAAAAAAAAAAAAAAAAAAAAAAAGATGTTGTTTGGTAATGGGACCTTACTTCCACCTGCACTTTTTGGGTGCAGTGACTGCAGTCTGACAGTATTGCGAAGTTACAGACAAATACATATCAGGAAGTAAGTACCGTCTTCACCCAAATAGAACGGCCAGCCGTAAAAATAAATAATAATTAAAATAATTAAAGGCTACCAGAGTGGCCCGGGAACACTTGCCCGACTAGGCCAAAAAAAACAAAAAACAAAAAAAAACGTTTTTTATCTAGGCTACCAGCCGGGCCGCCCGGGTCCCGGGTGGCCAGCCCGTGCAAGGATCAAGCAAGGTCCCAGCAAAAAAAAAAAAACAAAAAAAAAAATCAAACAAATCCGGAAAAAAACTATGTTATGCAGAAAAATAAATCGAACAACGTTTGCCTCAGGGTGACATCGAAATTCTTTACTGAATTAAAAATAAAAACTATAATGTAAAAATATTTTATTTTTATTTTTATTTTTTTACTTTTTTTGGCCCCGCCGGGCAAGTGACCCCGGGCCACTCTGGTAGGCTAGTTTTTAATCTTATTTTTTATTTTAAATTTGGTAAGGAATTTCGATGTGACCCTGAGGCAAAAGTTGTTTTTTTTAATTTAAAAAAAAAAAAAAAAAAGTTTTTGGGTCAAATGCCGGCGAGGTGGGCAAGGGTTGGTGTTATGTGGCCAGGGCCTGCAGAGCAGCAATCTTGTACGTCATCTGGACCCTGAGAAACGACAGACTTTTTAGGAGGAAATTCCATTCTGACCTGTCAACGATGAATCTGGTCCTTTCCAATGTTGGGGTGCTCATCTGGGCAGACTGGAGAAGAGCGAACAGGGCGCCACACAAGAGAAGTGCAAGCAGCAGTTTTTTGAAAACATGGTGTCTCTCTCAAGGTTAGAATGTTGAAGTCCACCGCCTGGGGAATCAGGATTGAGCCTAGGCTGACTGGACCTCGCCCCCCCCTGAAGCGGGGCTCAACACAGATACTAGGTCCACTTTCTGCTCCCTGTGATGGTGTAATATGACCTGCTACGACTGATAAGATCATTTTCGACTTGGTGGGTCACCTTAGGAACAGCAGCCTCAGAGGACTAGTTAAACTCTCATATGTGGTGCCCTTTGGGTGAAGAGGTCCTACAGTTATTAGGTCCAGGTAAAGGAGAGCCACGACCCAGAATTGTAGGTTCATGATTGCTTGAACTTTCAGAATTGTATAAGGGACGGTGGACCCGGTTTCCAGCAG